CATTAAGTTAATCCTCATAAAAATATCTACGATAAATGTAAGGCATATAGTTAGAATATGCCATACAAAGACATCCGTCTTAACCTCTTGGAAGCCATGAAAAAGCTTTGAATATTAACCCTTTCACGTCAAAGGTTAATCCATATCTTTCCCCCTTCACTTCTAACCGTCGTCTCTCATGTCATATGACGTACTTTATTCGTTATTATCAGTTCGACTCTATCGTTCTAGCTCGAAGACTTCTCCTGCATTGTCTTGACTGAAATTGGGTAGAAACGATTAAGTTGTTTTACTTCAAGAGGGCTACGATGTATATAAGACTTGTAGTTAGAAAATGCTATATATTAAACGAAAGAAATCAGGAAAGCGATATTGATGATTTAGAAAAGGTCGCTTCAGATAACGATAAAGAGTCGTGTAGACGCCATCTTTTTTAGCCTTGTATGATTTTATCTGGTTTGAGTAATAGCTAAAGAACTGAATAGCGGCAGAGACGAAAGATTTACTGAAAAACTGAAATTATTCTGTTGCGGGATGCTAGCATGATTGGTTAAATATGTAGTCACCGTTCTTCTTTTTATAGACTCTGTTCGAGGTTTTGTAACAAATATTAGGGAACTGGAGCATGAAGGAGCCTATAGGTACCTAGGTGTTATCTAAATAGAGCATACCCAAATATATGAGAAAGCAAGAAAAGAATACTGCAGGCGAATGCGTCTGGTGTTAAATACCGAGTTGAAAAAAAAGAATATCATCCATAAACACTTTCACTGTCGGCATGTTGCAATAAAGTTTCACCATCCTTAAATGGACTATAGTTGACATTAAGCAAATGGACGCCAAAACGAGAAAACCTCTCACTTGCCACCACATGAATCATCCGAAGGCAGATGATAATCCTCTGTATGCGCCCAGATACGAATGAGGTAGAGGATTGATTCATCTACCAGTATCTAACAAAACTACAATTATCTGACTTCAAAAATACCTGGAAACTACAGAAGACTGGATGATGATTTGCGTCAAAGAACATGAAAGAGGCAAGAAATATTATTTAGTAATATAGAAGACAACGCTTTAAAAACAGAGATTCAAGTAGCTGAAGAAATGCAAGTAAAACATAATACTCCAACTGCAAAAAAAAATTAACAAAGAAAGACAAATGCAACTGACCAGATACAAAAGCTGCGACAGGATAAAGCTTTCCACGGGCAATATTCTCTCCCCTACCAAACAAGCTGGTATAGATAAACCCCGTCCACATCAGTGACTACGCAGTGCAGGGTTCAAAGCTGAAATCGAAGGTTTATTTTGCTGCACATGACCAATGATTGCTAACTATAAATTACCAAGAACACATACTGAAACTTAAGTAGTCCAAAATGCAGATTCTGTGATAAATATCCAGAGATAGCTGACCATCTTCTGTCAGGTTGCACATTATTGGCACTCACTGAATAAAGATCCGGCATGAGAGAGTGGACCAATATCTGCATTGGAAAATCTTCAAATTTAAGGAAAGGAAACTGCAAGGAATTGGTATGAACAACACCCAGACCGGTTATGGAGATAGGGCCTGTAGCACATTTATGGGACAATACACACAGGCAGAACAATCAAATCTAATCGCCTAGATATCGTGCTCAGAGTCCCCCCAAACAAAATGCGCTTTCTTATTGATAGGGCAGCCCCTGCAGATTGTAATATATCTTCGAAGATCATCATAAACTATCGAAATACAACGTCCTAGAAACCGTAGTTTCAAAAATGCAACACATGAGAACATCGACAACTAAATTTGTAGTCGGAAACCTCGGATTGATTGGAACAGATACCAAAAATTGTACTCACAAGTACAGCACAAACCTTACGATGGGCTTTATCTATGTAAAATATGTGTGATCTTAGGACTTTTTTCCTCAAATAATTCTCAGTGTAAAATGTCATGATGCCATTTCTGTAATTATCTACCTGGTCTGGACCCGTAAAGAAATGAGTATACTTCAGAAAATAATAATAATAATAATAATAATAATAATAATAATAATAATAATAAGTTGACCACGTCTGTACTGACGAACCGTACTTATTCCTTTCTCGAAACAAACAGCGTTCTCCCGCTGGAACAGAAGGGATTCAGAAGAGGTTCATATGGCTGCAAAGATCAACTGCTGATAAATAAAATGATTCTGGAAAATTGCAGAAGACGCGGAAATCTCAGTGCAGCGTGGATTGATTATCGTAAAGCCTTTGATAGTGTTCCACATTCTTGGATCCTTAAGACTTTGAAAATGTTCAAAGTCTTCCCTGTGGTATTAAATTTCCTTAAGCACAGCATGGGAATGTGGAACACCAAACTATACCTTAGTCACACCGGGGGCACTGCCATATCCAACCGTCTGAATATCCGACGTGGAATCTTTCAAGGAGACTCTCTGTCACCCCTTCTGTTTTGTTTATCCTTAATCCCTCTTACACATGAATTGAACAACAGTAGCTATGGTGACAAAATAAATAAGAAAATATTCAATCACTTACTCTACATGGATGATCTCAAACTCTTTACCAAAGACGACAATGAATTGAAACGCCTCCTCCGTATTTTAAAATACTTCAATGACGACATATGTATGGACTTCGGATTAGATAAATGTGCAAAAGTAACATTCAAGAAAGGTAGAATTACAGAAACACCCTTAATAGATTTAGATTTTGTCACAAAGATTAGGGAACTGGAGCATGATGAAGCTTATAAGTACCTAGGAATTAGCGAAGGAGATGGCATACAACACCCCCAAATGAAGGAAAAATTAAGAAAAGAGTACTACAGGCGTGTACGTCTTGTACTAAAAACTGAGCTAATCTCAAAAAACAGAATATCAGCCATAAACACATTGGCTGTCCCTGTGGTGGAATACAGCTTTAATGTCCTTAACTGGACCATAGCTAAAATTAAGCGGATGGACGCCAAAATGAGAAAGATTCTTACTTGCTATCGCATGCATCATCCCAAAGCTGATGTCGATCGTCTGTATGTGCCCAGATCCGAAGGAGGCAGAGGATTAGTTCGACTAGAACTGTCCTACAAAACTACAACTAAAATATTGTGTCAGCCCAAAATGCAGATTCTGTGATAAATATCCAGAAACGATTGATCAATTGTATCAGGTTGCACGGTGTTAGCAGCCACTGAATAAAAAACATGGCATGAGAGAGTGTGCCAATATCTACACTGGAAAATTTGCAACTTCTACGGGAAGGAAACTGAAAGAAACTGGTATGAACACCACCCAGACCCGGATACGGAGATAGGACCTGTTACAATTCTATGGGACTACACAATACACACTGACAGAACAATCAAGGCCAACCGGCCAGACATTGTTATTAAAGACCACAAACAAAAACGGTGTCTCCTTATTGATATGGCAGTCCCTGCTGACTGCAATGTATCTTTGAAGATATACAAAACGTTGTCAAAGTACAAGGACCTTGAAATAGAAATCTCGAAAATGTGGCATATGGGAACATCAACAATCCCTGTTGTAGTTGGAGCCCTAGGATTGGTTGGAAAAGATTGCAGTAGACTAATTGAAGGGATTCCTGGAAGTCCATGCCTCAAGGAGATACAAAAAATTGTTCTGACAAGTACAGCCCACACTTTACGAAGGGCTTTATCTATGTATTTTTTTTTTGTCAGTGGAAAGTGTCATGATGCCATTTCTAACCTTAGGTCCCTGGGCGGGACCCGGAAAGTAATGTGTAAACGCCAGAAATCAAAAAAATAATAATAATAATAATAATAATAATAATAATAATAATAATAATAAACATTATGTAATTATCTACCTGGTCTGCACCCGTAAAGAAATGAGTATACTTCAGAAAATAATAATAATAATAATAACATTTTATTATTATTATTATTATTATTATTATTAATAATATATTTGTGGTTGTTGTTTTTATTTTGTTGTCATTGTTGTAAGTGGTATGTTCTTAATATCATATATGTTGTCTCAGTTATCAATTTATTTTTTCTGTCAGGAGACTTAAGTTATTGATATGACAAAGTAGAGATCGCTTCATTTTGTGCACGTTATTTTCTTTTCTTGGTATGTTTTTAAAAATAACAATTATACCTTTTTATTGTGTATATTTATTTTCTTCTCATTTATTTAAAAATACATACGGTAGCAAACCAGCATACATTTATCTATGTATTTACCCCCCAAAATATATATGACAAAATTATACAGTCATACATATTAGGTTTTACAATCACACACACACACACACACAAATATACGCGTCAATAATAAACATACAACATACATTTTATAAGAAATTTTCTAATGCAATGTAGATAATTGTATAAATATATTGTGTTTTTAATTTATTTAATAATATTTTTTATAATATTTTGTAAATGGTTATTATATTTCACACACCTAATAGTTGGAATATTGTATGCAAGTGTTTACAGACGCGTATTGATATAAAAGTGGTTATCGAAAAGTAATATTGAATTTGATATTAAACATGGCGTAAAAACAGTTAAACAACAATATCTCAAGATTCCAGACCTTCTTAATTCTCGGATATTTTTAACAAAGACAAAATTAAAACAGAATTATGTAGATTTCAAATACAAAGGTTTATCTTTAAATATCTTCTAATGCCGATATGTGATGTCTGATAAAAACAAAATGAAAGAAATACTGGTTAACAGAGAAAGTAAGAAATTACTCAATATAAAATGTATTAATTTAATGGGAAAAACAATTTTATCTTATGATCACATTTTTATTTCCTTAAAATTAAACATTATAAGATCAATCATCCTAAATTAAATTCTTAGTATTTTTGTAATTTCTCACATAATACAAGTCATACAAGGGAAAAATAAACTTGAGTTCCTTCGTGTAACCTCAACAAATATGTTTAGAAATATTGGTGTATTTAAATTCCGAATTTGAAATGAGATAATAAATAACGAATTAGAAACGAATAATTGGGCAACCAGAGACGTGGGAAAGATATAAGAGTAACCAGAATGTTAAAATGTCGAAAGCGGAAATGAAGAAAGAGAAATCAGAATGAATGTCGAAAATCAATCGAAAGAATAAATGGAAAATATTAAAGGATAAGAAATAAACTAATACGGATAAAAACAAGACAAAGAAAAAAAAAGTAAGAAAAAGAAAGAAAAAACAAAGTAAGACACTGGCAAGAATATAAAAGAAACAAAAATTAAATGACAGGAAAAATAATGAAAAAAAAAAGAAAATGAAAGAAAGAAGTAAGGAAATAGAAAAAAAGAAACGTTGGAAAATGGATAAAGCCAAATAAAGTAGGAAATAAATCAGAAAAGCAATCAAGCAATATAAGTAAAAAGAGAAACAGTGAAGGAAACTGAAATAAGCACTCACGAAAGAGAAGGATAATGAAATTAAGAAAAAATAAAACTAGAATAAATAGAATAAGTAAAAAAAAGACAGAAAGTAAACAAGAAAGAAAGAAAAATAATCAGAAAAAGACATAAAAGAAAGAACGACAAAGAAATATAGAAAGCAAGTAACGTAGACAATATGAACGAAACAGTAAAGAAAGAACCACAAAGACATACAGAATGCAAGCAAGGAATACAATAGAAAAGAAAAGAAAAAAACGGCAAAGAAATAAGGAATGTAAGTAAAAAAGACAGAAATAAAAAAAAGAAAAAAAAAACGATTAAATATACGGAAAGCAAGAAACGAATACAGTAAGAAAAAAAGGAATAACAGCAAGTAAATACTTAAAGCAAGCAAGAAATGCAATAAGAAAGAAAATAAAAAGAAAGAACGAAAAAAGAAATTTGGACAGCGAGCAACGGAGATAATGGGAATTAAAAAAGTAAAGAAAGAAAGACAAATACGGAAAGCTAGTATGGAATACAATAAAAAAAAAAAAAAAGAAAGTCAAAGAAAACCGGAAGTCAAAAAGTAAAGACAATAAGAAGGAAAAAAAAAACGATAAAGAAATACGGCAAACAAGCAACAAACACAATAAGAAAGAAAGAAGTAATGAAAGAAGGATAAATTCTGAAAACAAATATGGAAGACAGTAAAATGAAAAAAAGAAAAGAAAGATTGAGAAAGTAATTCGGAAAGTAAATATCGAAGACAATAAGAAAGAAAAAAAAACAGAACAACGAGTAAGAAATATGGAAAACCATCAACGAAGACCATCAGTTAATAGAGTTAAAAGAAAGAACGACAAATATATACGGGAAACAACTTACGAAAGCAATAAGAAAGAAAAAGATAAAAGAAATAATGACAAATACATTCAGAAAGTAAGCAACGAAGACAATAAGAAAAAGAAAAGAAAGAAGAACAAAGAAATACGGAAAACAAGCAGGCAAGACAATAATAACAAAACAGAAAGTAATAAAATAATCATAAATATTTTTCTGATGGGAACTAAAAACCGGCAAAAAACGAAATGACAACATTATTCACTTTTACAGAAATCCCCTGCAAAAAAGGTTTAAATCTGCTCAACATACACCATTTTTTCTTGTTTTATTCGGAGTCACGCCAAGCAAGGTAGTAATGCGACGAAAACACTATGGTTTACCGGGCGTGGACAAATTAGGAACAGAAACATTAATGATTATCAGAGAGAGAGAAGAGAATAATCAGGTGGACAACGACTGACACTGCATTTAAATTTTTGCAGATAAAAATTAGCTAGGAAGTATGGATTCGGAATCGAGTTCCATGAGCGAGAAGGGCGAGAGAAGAAACTGTTAGCGTAGAACTTACGGCTAGATTTATCTCAATTGAAAATTGGTGGAATCTCGACTCTAGTCAGGTGCTGTGATTAAATTTAAAAAAAAATAAAATCTCTAGATAGCATAGCCAAGTGCTGATTCGAAAAATTAACATGACAGTATTTATAGAAAAAAACATAAAGAGGGAACCATACGGCGGTAGAAAAGTGAGTGGAGCTGAGCTGCCACATCAACAACAATAATATTGCAGATTCATCATTAGAAAGTAGAGAGCCAGAAGGGAATTCCACAAGCGAAAAGTGCGAGGAAATAAACTATTAGCTTATAATTTACGGTTACATCTCAACTGTATTTTAAATTGATGATGTCTTGATACCACTACTTTGTTTGAATTCAAAAATGTCTATGTATCATGGCGAAGAGTTCCTCTGAACAATTACCATTTCTATTTAGTAAAAAAATACAGGGTGGAAACCTTACAGCAGTAGGAATATAACTGAGGGCGAGCCTCCACGTCAGGATCAATAATATTGCTGAATCTTCTTTGGATTATAACAAGGAGCTCACAACAAATATCAGGATTACCGGACCATATGCGACAAAAATATTCTAAGCATAGACGGATGGTAAACTTATAAATATGGAAGATAGTTTTTGCCTGGAAAAATCGTTTCCAAATACACAGAGAACAGACTGCGCGACCGTATGTAAAAGTCTTATCTGCCTGATTCCTATATAAATATCAAGCAATTGCTAAACGGAACACTTATCACTTAACTCACTGCTATACAAGTTAAACTGACTAGCCACAAAGGTACACGAATGACAACAGTAACCTAGTCCAAGTGGCAACACAACGCTATCTACCGTTTTTTGGGGGTTTTTTGTGAACATAGTGTTATATAGATTTTTCTCCTTGATTTGGCGTAACGAACCGTCTCTAAATTGTAAATGCATTTTGAAAAACGATATATATATATATATATATATATATATATATATATATATACAAGTATATAATTAGTATATATGGAATGAATTCCAATAACCAACAATTACTATTCTTAAAAGAGTGCTCAATACAAAGTAGAGCAGATATAATTATTATTTGCAAAAAAAAAATATAACATAAATATGTTATAAAATCACTACAAAAATAGCCATTTTGTTTCAACACCTTCGGTGTCTTATCAAGTGATGATATTGAAGATAAAAATATATAACATATTTATGTCATAATTATTTTTTTTAAAATAATAATTATATATATATATATATATATATATATATATATATATATATATATATATATATGGTGGGTTGGACGAAATGAACTTTTTGAGGTAGAAAGCCTCAAAATTTTTATCGTTTTCTTGACCAGTGACGTATTATTTACTTAATTAATGTTCATTCAATGCCAACATTACCTTTCTCTTATGCTGGTAGTTTTTAGTTTTCCATTTAACATTCAGAAAATCGATTTAATCTCCATTTAATTTGCTCAAGAATAAACGAATCTTCGGATCTTTCAATAATTAAGACGTTCAATTTTCATTATTTGTGAGAGCAACAGACAGAAGCGTGAAACAATGGTGAGATTTGGCATTCACATGAATATATATATATATATATATATATATATATATATATATATATATATATATATATATCAAGTATATAATTGGTATATATGGAATGAATTCCAATAACCAACAATTACTATTCTTAAAAGAGTACTCAATACAAAGTGGAGCAGATATAATTATTATTTATAAAAAATTATAACATAAGTTTGTTATAAAATCAATACAAAAATAGCCATTTTGTTTCAACACACTCGGTGTCTTATCAATTGATGATATTGAAGATAAAATAAATGGTTTTAAAAGTTTCAGATTAATTAACAATCCTACACTAGGGGGAAACATTGTTACAAAAGCAAGAATAACCAATCAAAAACCAAGTATAGAAAGATTCAAAAGCTTAACAAAAAAACCATGTTATAATAGCTATTCAGATCTTTAAAATACGTGTAATATTAAAAATAATTCATACTAACCAATAATTATAAATTAATATGATAAAATTTGATATTAAAATTAAAAACTGGCAATTTTAAAATCCAAATTTAATCACTATTAAGTTTAAAAACTACATAATTATTGAGAAAAGAAAAAATATATATGTTTATTCAATTTATTTCTTCGTTGAAATTACGTTCGACAAGACGCTACAATATATCCGGTCATTTGACAATACATGTATATTTATTTTTTATTCTAAAATGTGTGAATGTGGTCTTAAACTCACGCGCAAAACAGCAAAAACACAATCAGATTATAATACATAAGCACCCAGACATATTTGGATATGTATATACACACAAAAAAAAGGGAAAGAAAAGAAAAGGCGACGAGCCAGGAACATCACTACAACCCTTTATGATAAAAGGAAACAGGGAAACCAACAACTATACACACACACAATTAAATGTGAATACACTCGACATACACATAGACACCGATAGATACACGTGTACACATCCACAGACAATGATCTAGTCAATCAGATACCACAACCAATAAATATTTAAGACTTAAAGTATCATTAAATAAATGCCAACCACTTATTAAATTATAACTTAAGGGAGCAAATATACAAAGATAAAAATGGTTAAAAATAATATTATTCAATATATTAAAACGAAAATTCCAAAACAACAAATATCAATAAAAATATATTTTAATCGTATACGTTGATAATAGTTTCATTATATATTAGGCAAAGAAAAACAGGATAAAGAAACCCACAGAAATAAGTGTACATTCATACGCATATACATATATATACACGCGGCAGCAAACACAAATTAACACACATAAACATACACTCATACATACATATACATACAGAAATACATACATATAAATATATAAACATAAACATATACGCACATATACATATCTATGATAACAAGTACACATGCACACACATATACATATAAACATAAATACACACATATATACACACATTTTTATGCACACATACTCACATATATAAAAATATTCCCCAATATACATACATGCATCAATACATATATGAACATATATAAACAAATAGACTAACTACTGCGGCAGTAATGACATACCAAAGTTTCCATACCCACACATACACACAAACAAACTCATACATAATAGGTGCCAACACACCCATATACATCCATAAACATACATAAATATATATACACACATACATACATATCTATAAATAAACATATATATAAATATATCTATCTACAATAACAACTACCAATATATACATGCATACATAGAAATACAACAACACTCAACCAAATACATATATAAACGTACTAACATATAGATACATAAATATACATTCAAATACCAACACACACCAATATACATATACCCTAACATACAAATATATAAACACATTCATACAAACAGAAATATACTTAAATATAAATATACATACACAATAAAATAGGACACATACAGATATATACATATATACACACACAGATATATATATATATATATATATATATATATATATACATATACATACACACATACACACACATATACATATATATACAAATATATCGTGGCACAAAGCCGAAAATAGGAGGCACCCAGTGAGGAACGAACTCACGACTCAGTCGCAATTGATCTAGCGAACCATGCTTGACAACCATTATACCGCCGCGGGGTGCTCATACATACACATATAAATATATTTATATACACATACATACACATACATACATATACACACATACACATATACATATATATACATGCAAACATATATACATATATATATATATATATTTTATATATATATATACATATATATATATATACATATACACACATACACACATATATATACACACACATACACACATACATATATACACACACACATACACATATACATCAACAATTTTTAAACTTTTCTCTTCTAATCTACCATACATTCCCACATTATATATATATATATTTATATATATACACACACATATACACACGCACACACACACACACACACATATATATATATATATATATATATATATATATATATATATATATATATATATAAACCACATAAATACACTTATATTCAAATCTACACATTCCTCAGTGCAAATACTCTAACCGACACATAAATAAATATATACACATATACACCAGCACTAATAACACTATGCAGGTAAACAATACACATTTATATCGTAAGTATGACCATTCTGCAATAAAAATACTAATCTATTAAAATTACAGCGACATATCATTATCATTTAAAGTATACGACCCCTACATTAAGTTAAATTTATAACGGTGTTTACAATTTACTGTCAGTTCATATCTTTGATTTAAGAGATCAGCCTTGTTTTTAAATGTAATAATTTCAAATTTTTCGTTA